ATAAGCAAATATGAAAGTTAGACTATATCATACTTTTTAAAAGAACTGAGTTCGCACTGGGCACCTCCTTGAGTAATTTAGAATTTCCTGCCAAATGACAAATAGCCACTGATCGTCGTTGCGATAAGCCTTTCCGGACCAGACGGGCCGGCCGATGGCCGCGGAAATAAGGCACAGGTTGGCGAGTCCGCTGTTAATTACGCGCCGCTTTATATGTTTGCACGAGTACCTTGGCGGACTTATTGCCAATTATCCCGGGGTCAGCGGTGGCGTGTGTGACGACATCGCTGCAAATATTGGACCGAGCCTCGTCCATAAAACACGGCATGTCACATGCTTGTTTAGCATGCAGACTATGGAAAGAACTCGTGTAGTTATGACTAATGAATGCGGCGCAATCAATTTCAGTACGGCCGATTTTTACAAGGCACGCAGCGTCGTTTCCAAGCGCACAAGTGCGAAGTAAAAGTGAGTGTAGCTCCTTTAACATTAAAACATTACATTCAAAGATTTATTTAATCAAAATGTTTTGGATAAAGCTATTTTATATGGAACATCAAATACAATACACATTCTTACATAACAGAGGACGGTGGAAGGCAGAGGAAGAGCTCCGCGCGCGGATTGACCGAAAGCGAGAGACAGTGACAAGGTTTGATCTTTAGTGCTGGATGAGTCAGGGCACCCGTCACGGGACATTGTGTGCGAGTCGTGACCTGCGTGACCCGTCCGTGCCGTGGCCATTGCGCTGGTCCGACGTGACCAGGCCCAGTCACTACAGTCCTTTGACAAATTACCGAACAGCTGGAAGCCAGCTGGGCCCTGGGCGCCAATGCGGTCACGTAATTGTATTTGTTAGAGAGCAAATACGTGCACAATGCAATCAGTGTCTGTACTACTACAGCCAGAACACATCCCAAAGAAGAAATCCGTTTTACTGACGCTAAAAATCACAAAATCATGGAAAGTTATCGTGCATGCGTCAGCAGGAAGGCAATCATTTTGCCATGTTTACCAATAATAATAGTCCAATCTGCAGCCAACCAAAAAAAAAAAAAAAATCAGCTATGGAGTCACCTGAAGCCAAGGAGTCTGCTCCAATTGGTGCTTTTGAACGCTGCGATTGTGCTATCCCGTGATGTCACATGAACAAAGGACTGCAGCCTCGTAGTCACGCCATGAGACCAGTGTCTTATGAACCGGAGTTAGCATGAGAATTGAATGTTTACCGTCGTTATTTTCTCTCTGATTTCAGTGAGACGGAGCTTTAAAAATGGGAAAAGTTGCTGGTTCATGGTCCTTATCTCGGGCCCCCTGGTGGATCTTGTGAAAGCGCGAACTGAATGTGACCGCCCTTATTAGTGTGTCTCCAATGCATGGCCAGAAGTAATCAATGGCTGTACATTCCTAAATCCTACTGAATATCCAACACCAGTTAATACGCAATTTTTAACCTGGGGCGGTTTTTCATTCAACAAATGCCTCTTTAATTGAGAAATCCAGCCACATACGCATTAACACCTCAAACATATTGCGCCAAACCGCACGAGGGTCACGAGCCTTACCTACCTCAGTTGGGCAAACTAGGCGGCGGGAATCAAAATATGGAGGCATCAAAATATTGATTCTAGTGGGCGGAGCTTTGACCATATATGGGCATACGTGCAGACCATCACAGAAACGTCAATTCTTCAGCAACCGGCTACAATTTCAAGATAGTTTCTTCACAAAATGAAGAGCAACGTTGAAGCTACCCGCCAGGCACGAAACAATAGCCCTAACCTCTTAGGTTAGTTTAGGAAAGCGTCTTGAAAATAATCAAGATTTTGATTCATCACGGCGGCTAATCCCGGCGAGAATCAATATTTTGATTCCGCAAACAGCTGGCTAATCATTATTTTGATTCTGAAATCAGCTGGTCTATCAATATATTGATTCTGCGAACTGACTTTCTGCAGATGTACTTCACTCTTCAAATTGATTTATGGAACGTTTCTTGTGTGCAAATAATGCAAATTCAATAAATTCATGAAGATATTATCAGCACAGGATCGTGTAATTTTTTTCTAGACCTTATTCCCACGGTAGACCAGGGATTTTCAGCACTCACCCTAGCTCCCTGCTCAAAGCTGCAAGCCTTCGAGGGAATGCGTGAAGGGAGCCGTGCTGACCTTTGTATAGGGGTTGTACTGAGTCGGAGCCGGAACCGAAGCCCGACCATTTTACTCGGAGCCGGAGCCGGAGCTGGAGCCGATTTTTTCCTCCGGAGCCGAAGCCGTCTGACATTTTCACGGCTCCACATCCCTGCTTTGTAGCATTGATTTTGAGTAAAAAAAAGTTAACTTATCGTCTTTCACGTGTTCATGAATGTGTTTCTACGCATCTGTATCCCGTCCCATTTCTGTGGAGTACAGTAAGAGATATTTCGCCGAACAATATACTCAAGCCCGTTGCACAAATTGCACAATTTGAATGAAAATATGATACACGGATGTATTTGCATTCGCAAATAATACGATGATATTCATAACACATTTCACAAAGATCCCTGCAATTGCCACACATTTGCCATCACAAAGCCCTGTCGTTGATGCTCACATCCCATGCAAAGCAATACTCACTTTTAGGACACGTCTCTTATTCAATATGGCTACGTATTTGCAAAACATGCAGTTAATAATATTTGAAACTGAGACCTAACCAATAAGACATACCATGGACAGGTAAGAAAAACAAATAAACGTCTGGAGAATGACTTCAACGTCTCGATGTTGCCTACTTACAAAGAACAATTTTCGGTTTCGAATCAAATACATGAAATAAATATAAACAAAATTTGTACAGATACACTCAATATAGGGTTTATGATTAGCACGGCTACCTAAAACATCAATCCTGTCAGGTTGAGCCACTTATGTCCACACCCAAAGCAGGTCGCTTTGGAACACCACAAGATCCCATATTACCACCGAAAACGGTCACCAATTGGTCTACTGATCAGCATCTTCAGAACATTCTCGACCGAAAAGCTATCAGTCCTGTCTGTGTTTTGGTTCGCTTCATTTGGGCTATGCGCACGTTTTTCTACTCCGGTTCTAGGGACGAGATAGCAGTCATCACGCGCTGCACCAGCTCGTTCTTTGACAGGTTGGTGACGCTGTCGTCATCCGGCAGGATAAACACGTGGCGCATTTCACCCTCGGCCCCGCCAGCCACATACACACTTCCTTACGTCATATTGTTTCTCGCTACGAGATCAAAGTTCAAAAGGTCGTGATGTAGGTAGTCTCCGCCCAGCCCGAGTCAGGTACTCCACCGGTTGGTCGGGTGCGGCCAGGTCCGCGCAACGCCGCCCTTCTTCGGTCGACGCTCTGGTTGACAGGGATGGCGTTGTCATACAGTTGCCTGTCGACTGAACAGCGATTCAAGACGCCATCCTTGACCCTCTGAAGCTGATCCCCGCAACGACCAGTGTTTGAGCCTTGGTTGACCTGCAGCAAACAACAGAACAGAACACAATAATTAGGACATTTGTGGACAATAGATTAGGAAACTATATGTGTTATTATTCTATTTGTTCAGCAACTATTAATTTTAGAATATATTCAATAAAAATTAAATACTTAATGTCGCTTAAATTTCCACTGAACGTCACCAGGTGCGCCAACAACTGTCATCTCATGCAGTTATATAAATTCTGCCAAAAAAGTAGATCTGAGGCCAGCTGTACCAACAGAAAAATAGGTGGCTGCTGGATTTTTTTTGTCTAAAAGTTACTTCACATACAGAGCATGAACAGTACAGCCCTATCCGTTTACGTGCCCATCATGTAACGCTCCATATGTGAAGCAGTCTTTAGGCAAAAAATTCCAGCATGCAACTATTTGTGTTGATAAAACTGGCCTCTAAAATTAACTTTGGCATGGACAATCCTGAAAATTAACTATCCAGCATTCCCTGGACTGACGTACATTAGACACATAATTTTCTTGAAGATCACGCATAATGTAAATATGGCTTACACCATTCAGCAACTTGCTTTTGTTGCACTTACAAATTAAAGTTGTAGCAACAATTGGGTGAGTGAGACACAAGCAGAGGCTAAAACATCCAAATTATGTAAAATACTGGACATGCACTGCCCCCATTTCATGAGTCCACCCAACAATTCTATCATGTGAGACAAAACATTAGGCTTCTTGTAACTAATTTATACCGTAACTTTTAAAGGACATCATATTTCACTGAAATACTACACCTAAGACATCATTTTCAAAAAAATATAGCTTAAAAAGACAGCAGAAAAGTGAGAAGGCGTCCCGCGCCGCTGACGTCGCTACCGCGCCATGTTCCTAAAACCATCTCTTAAAACGAGTTTTCGGTAAGAAACGTTAAGATCACATGCCTGAAATTGAAAAACACACTTCAAAGTATCTTAAAATATGATCCATTGTTACTTACACTTCAGAAAAGGTCGCTTAAACAAAATAAAACCGGGAGCACTACGTTGCATCCAAACACCCACGACGCCGGCGCGAAATGGCGGGAACCGGAAATCGTGGCTAGATACAAAGAAAAAGAATATTTCTTATAAATGAATTATACAACTAAATAACGCATTTTTTATTTTCTTTTAGACAAAATTATGAAAAAATTACAGAGGCTTGTCGTTAATGATAAACAGAGCAAGTTTTAACAGCACGTTTTTGTTGAATTATGGCGGCGAAATCTTTATGCCATCCGTAAAGGTACGCGCGACAAACGGCTGATAGCCATGCAGCGAAAAATTGAAGCGGGGAAGTTTTTTGTATTGACTTGTCGAAAAATCTCGCCGTCATGGGGGTTATTTCCGCCGTAACGGGTCGTCTGAAGGTGGGAACGTCCCAAATTGAATCAAAATATTGATTCTATGCCCATATATGGTCAAAGCTCCGCCCACTAGAATCAATATTTTGATGCCTCCATATTTTGATTCACGCCGCCTAGTTTGCCCAACTGACCTTGGCTGTTGGAACCAAGGACGTCTTCGAGCCGCAAACAGCTTTCACGATCCTACCGGGTGGATCTGCGGATTGTCTCCTGGCAAACGTCTCCGAAAACACGTGAGAACCCAACCGTCGCTGACGAGGTCGTGACACCTCGACGGCAAGCCTGAGGCAACTGATGTCGCCGGTCTCGGTCAAAGCCCCAACACCGACGCACCGATGTCAGCGCCTCTGGCGGCCGCTGGCGGAAGCGCCGAGCAACAGGCGGAGTTTACGTCCGACGGTGGACGGGGCTGTCGATACCGACGGGCGGGGAGCAGGGGGACGGGAGAGGAGCACAGCTACCTACAGGTGGATCACGTAGGGGGGCGGAATGTAGTGTGCTTCGACAGGTTGTGGTTTGGTTTGACGGCCTATCATTTGGTTTTCATGGGTGCCAAACATGTGCGAGAATTATCAGCGCACTACTGGGTCCCGCTCTCGTACGTTTCTAAAATTCTAAATAAAATAAAACGCAACGTGAAAAACATATACTACCACATCAATACTATTATGGAAGGCTCTGAGGTCGTTCAAGGGTACTGGTGCTATTTTATTTATTATTTATTTATTTATTATTTATTTGACATCGTAGGCTCATTCCACAAAAATGGCTATTCCTGAACCAGGGTCGCAATATAAAATGATGGGTGTCGTGGGAAAAACATACGCACGCACGCACACAGACAGACATTCGTTCGCAGTCACTCTCTCACAAACGTGTCGTCATGAAGCATTGCTAACGGTCAGCCGCCTGTTGTCGCAACAAGTGCCGGCGCAACTCTGCCTTGAACGCGCGCAGGTTCAGGTCACACATCGCCGGTGGTAGGCTATTAAAAGCTGTCACGGCGGTAAAGAGGAATCGTCTCCTCCCGGACTCCGATTTGATTCTTGGCACATGTAGCATATCTATCTGTCTTGTGGCTCGCTGATGTACGTCACGTCTATGCACTATTCTACTCGCGATTGACTCGGGCTGCGCAGTGACCAGCATACGTTTCAATAGGGTCAGCACATGATATGAGTACATGTTACGCGCGGACAGCCATCCCAGGTCACGCAGGACGTCACTAACATGATCAAACTTCCGACGCCCCGATATCACACGGGCTGAAAAATTCAGCAGCTTTTGCAGACGTGCGAGCTGAGTGGTATTGCAGGAGCCGTACACACTGATACAATAGCGGATGAGCGAAATGACTAGACTTTGGACTAGGGTGGTGAGCGTCGAATGTGGTAAAATATGTCTAGAGTGACTCAATCCGATTAAAATACCTGTGCAGCGCCGGACGACATCATCGGTATGGGCGGCAAACGACATACATTGGTCAAATACGACACCCAGATTCCGCACCGCGGGAGAGCCGGGGACAATGGCGCCCATAAAGTTGATGCTGACTGTTGGAAGCTGCCGGAGATTTTGACGAGTGCCGAGAACAATGAGCTGAGTTTTCTGAGCGTTGATTTTCATACCATTTTTGCCAAACCAGTTCGAGAGCAGTGACAAATTTCGTTCCATGGATCCGATCAGGGCGCCAATGTCTCCGGGCCCCCCGCCCACGAGAACCTGAGTGTCGTCCGCGTACTGCACGATGCTCGCGTCATCAACGAATAGCGACATATCATAAGCATAGATGCTGTACAAGAGCGGTCCGAGCGATGTCCCCTGATAGGTGCCGATCGGGTTCGGCAGCGCCGCCGACAGAGTTCGAGAGCCAGAGTGGCTCTCAGCTACCACCTGCTGCTGGTGGTCGGCCAAATAACTCTCAAACCAGCGCGTGTCGACATTGTACAGTTCGAGTTTACGTAAAAGTCCGGCGTGCGGTACGACGTCAAAGCATTTGGACAGATCTAAAAGACACAAAAGTGTAATTTCCTTACGGTCCATAGCCTCAAACACTCGGTCTGTAACATCTAAAAGTGCGGTGTCGGTAGAATGGTTCGTCCTAAAACCGTGCTGACTAGACGAGAATAAATGATGACAGGTGAAATAGGTAAAAAGCTGCTCGTAAACGACGCGTTCAGTGATTTTGGCGATGGTGGGAAGGATTGATATGGGGCGGAAGTTGGTTACGTCTGTGGATTTGGGTGATTTCTGGATGGGATGGATCAAGGCTAATTTCCATGAGCTAGGGACGCTGTGACTGGTGATGCTGGAATTGACGATGTGGGTGATGACGGGATAGATGGAGCCAAAACACTGTTTGATAAAACGCATACATAGTCCGTCAGCGCCACACGATGTACTGCTGGCCATCCTACCAACGATACACGACAGTTGTTCCGGTGTAACGGGTGCCACCTGGAAACGGCCGGTGGAAACGCGCGGAAGCCGCACCGCCAGCTCGGGCCCCGCGGAGTCCACCTGTCGGGCCGTGGCGGTCCCAATACTGGCGAAGTACTGGTTAACTGCGTCCGTGTCAGCGTCCGGTGAAGGTTTGGTCGTCCGCTTCCCCGCGATGACCGGCCGGACACTGCGCCACAAGGAGCTCGGCCCGCTCTCCCGCACGCGCCGGTCGATCTCCTCTCGCGTGTCACGGCGGACGGCCGACCTAACCTGCCGGTTCAGTTCCTTATACAAGGCACGATCTGAGGCACGTAGCGCCGCCCGCCGCCGGGCCATTAGGTCCTTTGTGGCTTCCGTCACTGGGGGCGCCGTCGGGTTACGCACTCGGAACCGTCTGGCCGGGGCCAGACTGTCAATAATGGGCATAGTCACCGCGATAAAATAGTCCCACTGCTCGCCCGGGTCAGCACTGCGGTACACAGGGCTCCAGTCCACGGCCCACAGGCGGCGGCACGCCTCGGCTTCAATTCAATTTTGAGAGACTTCAATGTCAACAGTCGTCAATAATACAAATAATACAACTTCAACTACGTGCACAACTACGTGTACTATGGCAGAATTGCATGCGATGCACAAACATAACTCCATATACAAGAAAAGTAATAGGTTATGTAACTGCTTATATAAAGAAAATTAGTTCCGTGGAGTTCCACGGGAATGCAATTTTCCTCTCCGTTGTGAATTATCCCGATGTAGAAAGCCAATTTCAGGTTGGGTAAACTAAATCAGCACTAATATGACGGAGTTTGTGGCGGCGAGATTACGTTAGAATGCCGCCCACTGCCGGCCGAGGAGGCGGTCGGAAGGTCACCGTACGATTTCGTGTCTGTGGGGGTACCAGGGGACGAACCATAGATCAAAGGTGATGACATCCTGCACGAGCTGCTGTCTTGTGGAATGTTATGAAACCAATAACTGATTTTAATAACTCATTTAAATATTTCTGTTCATAATGATAGATACCAGTATAACGCCTTTTGGGGCGACTAACGGAGCGAGCGAGAGGGTGGGCCTTGCACGTGCGAAATTGCGAGGGGGTACCTCCAACTGACTTGTCCACGGCACCCTTCTAACCGGTCTCTAGCGATGTGCCAAATTTGGGCACAATCGGCCCAGCCGTTCTCGAGATCTGGAAGCGGCACCCTGCACGTGCGCACGTGCAAAATGGGTCCCAACTGACTTGTGCACGGCACCCTACTAACCGGTCCCTAACTGTGTACCAAATTTGAGCGCAATCGGTCGAGCCGTTCTCGAGATCTGGAAACGACCCCTGCACGTGCGCACGTGCAGCAGCGCCCCAACTCTGACACATGGATATGCAGTGCCTAGTGGGTGCCTACCTACATGCCAACTTTCAGCGCAATCGGCCAAGTAGTTACCGAGATATTGCAACAATTACAAAACGGACACCTCTTCGTTTTGCACGTGGCACGTGCATAAGGGGTCACCCACATGCATCAGGAATAGTCCAATACTTGGTAGAAGGAATGAAGCTACCCTACAAAAATTACCGCGTGTAAATCGGTCAAGTGGTTGCTGAGATATAAGCCTCGCAAAAGCGTGACCACGGCCGGCCGGCCGGCCGGCCGGCCGGCCGCTCATACTCAGAAATTTCCGTTAATCTAAGGAAAGACTACGCTCGCTTCGCTCGCTCCGTAACAACAGAATCCCAAGGCAGAGGGCGAAATTTCAGTCATTTTTCAGCGCTTTATTGCAGTGAGCTGACTGATGCTAGAATGCATTCTGGTGAACTGAATCGAAAAGTATATCTACTAGTTATACGTCGCCTTAGCTGTCACTGCATTGTAAATAACAACTGATTGCGCGCAAAGAAAAGGTCACTGATCTTACATGATCGAAGTTGATTGTTAGATTCAACAATAAACGTAAAAAAGGATATTCTCTACTCCGATTTACGGGCAGGCACTTGACAAGGAGTGTCACTATCGCATGTTATGAAATGCATTTCATCACATAACCATAGGTATCACCGAACAAAGGCATCTTTCCAGGCACCCTAATAACAACACCTGGGGCGATTTATAGGGGATTTCTTTGGTCCGATATTGCAGCTTCGCCGACGTCGCGCTGCTAAATCACTGCCGACTGACCATAAATCTGGCTAATTGCCAGGTGGTCGGCGGCTTCTGGCGCACCAAACAGCCAGCGGGAATTTCGCTCGGCAGTTGGGCTCGGCACAGAGCCACTCTTTTAGCCGGCCAGCGTCATAAGTCACGGCAAAGCTGAAAACCCGAAATCAGACCCTTCCGGCTTCGGAGCGGCCTTATTTGGGCAGCGTTGTCAGACAATATAGGAAGGTGGTTTATAAAGTCGTGGTGCTGAGAAAGAAGCAGCTTTACTCATGTATCGCTATCAAATCAGGGTATTTAACATAAATAAGATAATTCAGTTTTTTATCTCTGTTTGAGACTTTGAGATGGAGTAAAACTCAAAACAAATGATAAAATTATAATATCAAAACTATTGGGGTTTTATTTTTATCGGTTATTGATAGTTGACAACGCCATTGGTGCATGTGATCGACGTTCAACATTGGCAAGGTTGAAGGAAGGTCAGAAAGGTTACACCACGTTTACGCCTTTATAATGAAAAAATGAAATGATTCTGACCTTCCGGAAATGATATTATCTTTGAAGCAACAGCTATATTTTCTGTATTTTATTTTCCCTTTGTAGTTGAGAGCACAGTTTCAGGTGGCGAAGAATCAAACGCTGCATTTCTGAGGAGCG